CTTGTTCAAGGTCCAAGGCATGACCCTCACAAGGAATTCCTGCTAGGTTTGGGATTTAGGGGTTTGAAGTTCAGGGTTTTGCCTCCCAGACTACAAGGTGGACCATCTCAAGCTTTCTGGGCCGTGCACTTTTTGTGAGCTTGCAGTCACCGGAACTGGTGTCGCATGAGATTCACCCTCAGCCCTGAACCCTAAACTCTATTTCCATCTTTATCATTACCACGGCTCCTCCCCAAAACCTAAAAGTTCGACCACAAACACCCAGCCGAAACATTGAAACTTCAACCCGCGGGCCCCATGTAGAATAGGGCTTGCAGCTCGAAGGGTATGCAAAAGTATAAAGCCCTAAGTGGAAACCAGAAAGTTGTAAGATCAGTATCCTCGTGCCTTGAGGGTAATGTATAGGGGACCGCAGCACTAGTCATCCTAATTCAATTCCATGTTCTAATTTTCTAAGGCCTCTCTTCTCCAATAACCAGGCCCCAAAAAAGTTCAGACTTTGTAAGATAGATCAACTACATAAAGCCAAAAAGTTTAAAGTTCTCCAATTGGCTAAGTAAGAGGCTCACTACAATCCCAAAATCATAAGGAACCTCAGGGCGGGTAGGGGGGGAGGGGGGTAGGGGGCCTTCATACGTATAATAAGGATTTGATAAGGCCGGGAAGTATAGTCCCCCTACCCGCCCGCCACGTGTACCCCACTGGGCGTTCTTACGCCGAAATGTATATGTATACGCCATACGAGTACTTTCATTTGTTTTTGTGTGTTTGTGTTTCGGAAAACATCATGCAAACATGATTTGTAAACAAAACAACCCACCAACCCACCCCAGGCAAGGCTGGGAGTGTGCAGCACATAATCCGCACCTCGCTTCATGCACGGACGCTTTTCTCACCAGAGTGGACATCGTTTCAGTTACAGATACACATGTGTGTATAATATATATATATATATATATATATATATATAAATACTTGAACCCCAAATGTTACTATAGACACTTGAAGTTGCAATTGAAATTTCATGGCTATACAAGTACCTACTTCCACAAATGCTAGCAAACAGTTAGGAAGCTAGGAAGAATTCCAATTGGCCTGAATCATAGCACCCAAGACAGGCTGACAGACACACAACACACAAGCAGAGCGGTTGCGCAGTTGAAAAATGAGAATCTCACATCCAAAACAGCGTCTGTGGTTGCAAAGTGTGGATTCTGGTTGCAAAGCGTGTTAATCTCTACCCGCCTCCCCCCTACCCCCCCAAGGGTCCCTATGACACAAGGGCGATAGAGGGGATGTTAGTCATCATGCGAGTATTCAGCCGTCAGCCCTTCGATTTGGAACCATCCCTTTTTGGGCGATCTTGAAAATCCCTAACCCTAAGCCGCGAAAGCCCTAGAGCCCTAAACCTAAACCCTCCCCTAAACCCTCCCTCCCCTAAACCCTCCCTCCCCTAAACCCTAAACCCTACGCAGCACCATGATTCAAAATATCCCTTCCTGGGGATCCAAAAACCTACGGTTTTAGGGCTTAGACCCTCTAGCTAAGGGGTCATAACCTACCATTTTTGTAGAGTTTGGGGAAAAAGGTTGACCCTAGACTGTATCCGTCGACGCTGCAACCCTCAACCCCATACCCCTAAAGCTCCATGTACCCATATAGTAGGTACTTAGGCCTTAAAGGGGTCCCTAAATGGCTACTTTAAGGCCTAAGTACCTACTATATGGGCACATGGAGCCTTAGGGATATCTTGTACTCCGTTTGGCACCGTAAAGAACCCGTCATCCAACCCTCGCCAATAGCTGTATAGAACATTATACTGAATTTATACTTATATTACCTACAAACTCCTCTAACCCGGAACGCGCCCTTGACCCCTAAACCCTGACCCTAAGGCTCAAAATAGCCCAAAAGCGTCGGATAGTATTGTCTTTGGGCCCAAAAGCCTTAAGATACAGTTGATGATGTAAATCCTGCATTACCCATAATAAGGAATAGATCATGATTCAAAGAGTTTAGGATCCTTACGGTAATGCAGGATTCATGTCAAAGACCTAGACCCTAAAACCCTATAGATCCCTTCAAGGAACCCCTTAAAGGTAGCCTTATAGATCCCTTTAAAGGAACCCTAGGACTTATATCATCAGCTGTATGAATTCGACAGCCTTGCATAAACCCTAAGGGCCCTTTCAAAGCCCTGAACCCCTTTGGCGGTTTAGGGTTTAAGGTTTAGGGTTTAAGGTTTGGGGTTTAGGGTTTAAGGCATAGGGTTTATGTATAGTGCTTAAGGTTTAGGGTTTAGGGTTGAATGTATAGGGCTTAAGCTTTAGGGTTCAAGGTATAGGGTTTAGGGTTGAAGGTTTGGGGTTTAAGGTTTGGGGTTTAGGGTTTGAGGCATAGGGTTTATTTATAGTGCTTAAGGTTTAGAGTTTAGGGTTGAATGTATAGGGTTTAAGCTTCAGGGTTTAAGGTACAGGGTTTAGGGTTTAAGGTTTGGGGTTTAGGGCTTGGGGTGACCCTTCGCTCCTCGCGCTTCTTCAGATCTTTCATCGTCTCAGGCGGAGGGACTTCGAAACGCTTGGCGACCTTTTGTTTGTCCCGAAGGGTCCAGAACCAAAGGGTCCGAGGTACTGTTATGGGGTATACTTCCCCTAATCATAATACTTGAGTGTGGAAACCCTACATTCTACTATGTAGGTACATTGGACCCTTGGGGTTTTGCTGCTTCGATGACATCCTTTTGTGTGCTTCGCAGGAAAGGTTCTCTAGGGCCTTATGAGATTGTAGGGCTGTTTGGCTTGTGTGTGTGATGTCTCGTGGTTCTACCGAGTTCGTAATTATAGTTATGGTTTCATAAGGTTGCGCGGTTTGTGCTGCTATACCTTACCTGCACCGCAAACTACCTACTTATTCAAGGACTGACGTAAGGAAATCATAACCCGAAGGGTCCAAAGTACCTTTATAGTAGAATGTATGGTTTCTATATTAGGAACTACTATTATGATTTCGGGCAGTATCACCCATAACAGTACCTAGGACCCTCTCTTGGGTTCCAGGTTCTCCCCAAGCCTCCATGTACCTTTATAGTAGATACTTAAGCCTGACAAGGGGTCCCTATGTAGGTACTTGAAGGCCTAAGTATATACCATAGGGTACATGGAGGGTCTGAAGCTGTTCTAGGCTCAGGCTGAACATCTGCTTCGGGGTTGCAGGTCACGGGATCAGTTCGCATCGCGATTGCTAAACGCATGAAGCTTAAGGGTTCCAGGTTCAGGATTTGAGATTTCGGGATCTGAGTTCAGGGTGAGCTAGCAGAGCAACATAATTAGAGCCCCAGCCCAAACCCCCCTCCCCCCACCAGGATGTATGTATAGGGCTTAGACCCTAAACCCTAAACCCCGAAACCCTAAACCGTTTAGGGTTCAGTGGTTTAGGGTTCAGGGCTTACCCACAGGCCCCGTAGTAGTATCTTTTTGGGGTTCATATGTAGAATCCTATAAGGAACTACTATGGGGCCTATGGGCAAGGTCCTAACCCTAAACCCCAACATGGCGCGGCTAGAGCCCCAAAACGTCTCCTTGATGCCAGGAGCACCTTCCCCCCGGCCAAGCTCACAGCTTGAGGGCCGAAACCACCTTGGTCATTTTTGCATTTCTCAAGCCCTTTATGAGGGACGGTTTAGGGTTTAGGGGCTTTTATAAGGTCGTGCAGGTCTGGCACAAGGTTTTTCAGGATTTATAAGGTTTGTTGCTGGACATCTGCGGCGAAAATTTGGAATTTCCAGCATGGGAGCAGAGCACAGGGTTTCCGTGGTCGAGGCTTAGCGTGTGGTCTGACGATAATTTGGTCGCTTCCGGCTTGGGTGGTCGGGGGTTAGTTTTGGGACTACAAGGTGTTCGAGACTTCGGTTTCTGGCAATTTCTCCAGCTTCCCGCAATCAATGCAGACACTGGACTTTTTACAAGCCTTCATACGGCTTTTAGACGGGCTTCCTTACGGGGAGCTCCCTCACCCTCGACCCCCTGAACTTGCTCTAAACCCAACACCCTGAAGCCCTAAACCCGTAAGAAACCCTATAAGCCCCTAAAAACATGGGCTTCGGCAGGCCTGAGCTTTCGGAGGTTCCATGGGGCTTGGCGGGTTCCGGGTTAGATAATCTAGATACTCTTGCAATTTGTCCGACCTCTGTATTATGTTGATCCGTAGGTGCGCTGAGTCGGTTTGAACCCATCGCGCAGGAGGCTTGGAAACTACGCTTCTCGATCAAACCAGGTCAAGGATTCGGGTGATTAGCCCTAAGGCTCCGTGTGCCTAAACAAGTATGTAAATATGTGTGCATATATATATATATATATATATATATATATATACATATACATATACGTATACATATATACCTGTACCCCCAAACCCAACAAAATAGCAGGTTATGACCGGTAGGTTTTCGGATCCCAAGGTAAGTTTAGGCAGCAAAGGGGCTGCTGTCTAGTTACTTTACGGCCAAAGTCTATATTCGATGGGTATACAGTAGCCTTGGGGGTAGTGTTGAAGTCCCGATGCTTAGAGGGTCCTTAAGGAGGGTGGTTAGGGAGGGGGGGTTACAAGGGATCTTTAGGGACAATAAGGAACCTTGGGGAGCACTTGAGAGAACTACCCATAGGCGCCATAGTAGTTCCTTTTTGGGCTTGCCTTGTAGGGTTCTACATATGAACACCCAAAAAGGAACTACTATGGGGCCTGTGGGTAGGGATGAGTAGGTTATCTATCCCCGCTTGGCCCCCTCCCTTGAGGATAGGAGCTTGGAGCCCACCAAGCACGACTTTCTCAAATCCGCTAGAGAGCCACGGTTTAGGGTTTAGGGGGTTTAGGGATAATAGGGGCTTTAGAGGTTCAGGGTTTAAGGTTTCGGGTCTTGTAAGACTGCGACTTTAACGTGGAATTCCTACAACACGGCCCCTGCGATCGCGATTTTTTGAATTGCAACGCAAGGAAAAGAGGTGTCAGGCATGCACATTCTGGGCTACCGGGGGGATGACATTATGTCCCCCCAAAGCCACCTGATCAGTAACAGGAATTACGACGGGGCCCTCCGGGTCGTCTTCCGCCCCAACACACCAGTCCCCACAGGTCATCACCTGCATCGGCACTAGTTTATGGTTGGGATAGGATTGAAAATTTACGTTTTTATTCCTTACTGGGTTTAAGTATGCATAAAAATGCAAAATGTTACTCAACTATGACAAAGGGCAGGGATGTTGGTGGTATTTGGGGTGCAGCAGGGTTTCGAATTCATATGCGGGGCATTCAGAGTTCGTCACTTTGGCTTAGTGCCTACCTGTAGTCTCCATTGTAGTTCCTTTTGTTAGTTAACCAGGTTTATCTACAGTACAGGATCCGAACCATCAAGCCGGTTAACCGAGCAAAGGAACTACAACCCTAAACCCTAAAAAACCCAAACCCTAACCCCTAAACCGTAAACCCCTTTTCGGCCCAAGGCCGGCTATGTTGAGGGGTCGAACAAAGCAAGACTCTAATGTAGGAACCTGATTAAGAGACCCCGGCCCTTCAACCCTAATATCTTAGGATGCTTTATAAGGAACCCCACCGTAATTTAATAGGATCCTTTATAAGGAACCCTAACAAACACCCCAAGGTTTCTTAATCAGGTTCCGTGTTAAGTTCCATCTAATCCTACCCAATATCAAAACGGAGCCCTGTTTATTCCTAGGTTACTGGGAGCCTAGCCCCACGGGTCCATGTACCTAACTATCATATACTCTCCAAAATAGTAACCTACATAAGTAGTATCCGAAAACCGAGTACCTAATTATTGGGTCCTTTGGACCCCTAGGGTAAGGGTCCATGTACCCAAACAGTGTATATTTTGGCTACATGACGCCTCCGGCTGACCAGGTTCCCAGAGACTCCAAAACCCCTTAATTAAGGAATATACCTTAAATCATATAAGGGATCCTATTATAATTTAAGGTATGTTCCATGATTAAGGGGTTTTGGAGTCTCTGGGTTCGGGCTTGGAGCTTTCAGGATTTGGGAGTTTAGGTTTAGGATTTAGGGTTTTAGGGTTTTAGGGTTTAGGATTCTGGGGTTTTCGGGTTTTAGGATTTAGGGTTTTAGGGTTTCAGGGTTTAGGGTTTCAGGGTTTAGGATTCAGAGTTGCTTTTCAGATTTCGGGCTTTATAAAGTTTCGAGGATTTCCACAAAAGTGTAAGTAGCCGTATGGCCCGCCCTCTGGCCGCAGAGGAGATGATACGGTTGATGATACAATTATTATTACGCATAAAAAGAAATATGCCACCACAACTCCCATAGTCTAGGGTCATTATGGCAATGCAGGGTTTATATCATCAAGCTAGACCCTAAACCCTAAAACCCTATAGATCCCTTATAGGAACCCCGTAAAGGTGCCCTTATAGATCCCTTTAAAGGAACGCTAGGATCTATATCATCAGCCGTATGTAGAGCAGCTTGTGGGCGGAAAGACGGCCCTCAGGATCTTCGACTCAACAAACACCGAAAACCCTTCATACACCCTAAGGCTCCATGTACCCATATGGAGGTACTTAGGCATAAAGGGGTCCCTTTATGGGTACTTTAAGGCCTAAGTACCTACTATATGGGAACATGGAGCCTTTGGGACACACTCGCGAACAAAAACTACCGGAAACATTCAACAAAACACGTATAAACCCTGACCCTTTAAACAAACAGCTGCAGGAAGCCCAGTGAAACCGATGCAGTAAAAGACCGAGAAACCCGTACCACTAGTCCCCGCATCCTAAACCCTCACCTAAAGGCCCTAAACCTGGACCTTATTAATTATTATTTCAGCCCTAGCCCAAAAGCCCTACAGTAAATCTCGACGCCCTCAACCCTCAGCCGTAAACGCAGAGGGTTGTTGGGCTCTGCTGCTTCTCCGAGGGGAACCCAGACCCCCCCCGTCCGCACCCTAAAGGTCCTATGATAGTGATTCCCGCTACAGAATCGCTACATTCTACTATATAGGTACAAAGGAACCCTACACCCTACCTGGGGATCCGAAAACCTACGGTACTAAGGGCTACACCCTACAATTAAGGGGTCATAACCCACTGTTTTCTAGGCAGGTAAACCCATAAAGGGCAGTTAGGACCCTTTAAGGAACCCTAAGGAACCCTTCAAGGAACCCTAAGCCCGAAACCCCTCAACCCCTATACCCCTAAACCTTAAACTCACATACCCCTGAACCCTAAACCCTTAAACCTTAAACCCAAAACCCTTAAAAGAACACTACCTGTAGTCTCCATTGTAGTTCCTTTTTTTGGTTAACCAAAATCTCTACTATAGGATCCTAACCATAAAACTGGTTAACAAAAAAGAAACTACAATGGAGACTATAGGTATTCCTTTTGTTAAGGGTTCAGGTTCCCTTATAACACCCTTTAAACCAACAAGGGCACCCTTTTTGTTTCTAGGTTGCTGTTATTAGGTCTCGCTGATAACACCTAAACCCCCTAAACCAAACAGCCTAAACCGGGGCCCTTTGGGGAAGTGGCCTGCTCGTGCGCTGTGGACACCGTTTGCTGCCCACATGCCTGGCACTGGAAGGAAAGACCTGAGCGAGTGCGGTCTCGGGTTCCTTTAAAGGGATCCCGGTTTAGGGTTAAGGGATCCAAAAGGCTTCAATAAGGGATCTATAGGGCTTAGGGATGATAGCGGCTATAATCTTAGGGTTTCGGGGTTAGGGTTTTAGAGATTAGGGGTTAGGATTTTAGGGACGAGGGGTTGAGATTTTTGGGGTTTAGTTCGGGTGTAGGCTCAGAATATTCGGCTCAGGGGGTTCTGGCTTTAGGGTTTAGGTTGTAGTGCTTCGGGTTCAGGGGATTTCCAAATGTTCTCTCCTTGTACGAATATTTATACGAGGCTCTTGAAGGGTTGTGGCGAGCCTTACAAGGGTCCTATCAGGATTTCATTAGCCCTGTAAGGCTTTGCTCGTTCGGTAAGGGTGTGCTTAAGGTTTTGAGGGCTTGGGGATCTGGGAGTAGGATTGAGTGAGGTTTTTAAAGTTTGGGGTTTTGGAAGAATTCAATTTCAATAACTAGAGTTTTGGGGTTCAGGTTTTCGGGCTCAGGGCTGTAGTGGCTTGGATGTAGGGTTTGAGGCCTCGTGCCTACAGCATGAGAACACCTGGAAAGTTTCTAGGCCTAAAGGTTTAGGGTTTAGGGTTTAGGAGTGCGGAGGCGTGTATTGGCCACACACGTGCACAGGTTTTTGTACGGGCCAGGTGGGGTTTGGGTTTTGGGCTAGTTTTCGTGAGCTGAGCGCTACTGTTGAGGGGCTGTGGCATCTTTGGTATTTGGTCATACACCTTAGTTTCGGTTTTTCGAGGTTTGGGGTTCGGGCTTTTGCAAGGGTCCATGTGCCTATACAGCCCATACAGTAATATTTTTGGCCTTAAAGTAGTCTCTGTACAGGTACTTTAGGCTGAGAGTGTACACGCTCTTTGGGTGCATGGCCCTTTCGGGTGTGGTTTGGCTCAATTTGTATTTGGGCTTAGGGTTCAGGGATCTGGTTCGTTCCGACCTGCTCCCCATGGGGCTTTAGGGTTTAGGGGTTCAGGGTTGTGCTAGTGCTGATTGCCGTCAGGACGGCGAGGCTGATCGTGACAATGATGGCGCATATGGGAGTTTCCGAAAATTGGACACCCTAATATAGTGCCCTAGATAATAAGCTCCTTATTACAAGGACCCCCAAAAAAGGTACCGCTATGTTCGGAAACTCCCATATCCAGACAAAGCAAGCAGAGAAGTACGGTTGATGATATAAATCCTGCATTACCTTCAGGACCCTAAACTATGGGAATTATGGTATATTCCTTATTATGGGTAATGCAGGGATTTATATCATCAACCGAAGCAGCAGGAGGAGCAGGGGTCCTCCTCGAAAGACTGCCGTGCTGGTGACAGTAGTCCTCTACCCTGAATCTTGAGAACCTCGACCGGAAACAGGAACAAAAAAAAAAAAAAAAAAAACAGCAAGGTACGATGACGAACACCTTCCTTCGAAAGCCCTTAGCCTTAGCCCGAACCTCAAGGCACAAAGCCCTAGATACGGCAGGCGGCTGGTGAAAAAAGCGGCCATAAACTCCATGAAGTACTGTGCACTCTCTCCTGGGCTCGTCGCGGACTTCGGTTGATGATGCAAATCCTGCATTACCCATATTAAGGAATATACCATAATTCCCATAGTTTAGGATCCTTAAGGTAATGCAGGATTGATACCATCCACCGTTGTACTTGAAGGTTGGGGCTTAGGGCGTAGATCTGAAACGTGAGAGGACTTGGGCTACTACTACTGCTACTACTACGACTACTACTACGACTACCACGACTACTACTACGACTACGACTACGACTACGACTACGACTACTGCTACTACTACTACTACTGCTGCTTGGCTACTGCTACTGGAACTCCTGCCTCGAGCTGTCGTTCCGATGCTTCTGCTAAGGCTGGCTCCGACGGCGCCAAACACCCAGAAATCTAGAGGTTTAGGGTCTATAGGGGTTTAGGGTTTAGGGGTTAGGGTTTAGGGTTTAGGGGTTAGGGTTTAGGGTTTAGGGTTTAGGGGTTTGGGGTTTAGGGTTTAGGGGTTTTGGGGTCTATAGGGTTTAGGGTTTAGGGTTTAGGGTCCATAGGGGTTTAGGGTTTAGGGTTCGGGGCTTTGGGGCTTTGGGTTCGGGGTTTGGGGTTTAGTGTTGAGGGAAGGATGGAGAAATCAGACACCTCAAGCTACCCCGACAAAACTGATCAATACTCGCTCAGCCACAGCAAATTGCCAAATGCAATAAAGATATCTTGGGTAATACCGCCGAAAGGACAACTACAATCGTAATGAAGGGTCCACTTAAAAATTCTGACTCCTTATATAACCCTTAACCCGTACACGCTAAATTTTGAACCGTAAAGGGAACTCCAGAAAGTTGGAATCTGGTTTCAGGGTAGGATACCTTATAATTTACCATAAAGGGCTTAGGAGAATCATATTATCCAACTTTCTGGCTTTTACTTTAAACCCTGAAGCCTCTAACCCTAAATCCTGAACCTTAATACACCCTTGACGCCTTCCTAAACCGCAAAAGTAATGGCACAGCACCGATGAAGTAAAATGCCGCTTATTCTGCATGTTTGGGGACCCAGAAACCCTAAACCCTGTAACCCGCATAAACCCTGTAATCCCTAAAAGCCCTGTAAGCCCTAAAAACCCTGTAAGCCCTATAAACCCAGCAAGCCCCCTGTAAACCCTATAAGCGTTCTCGACCCAGCAAGCTCTAAAAACCTTATAAACCCAGTAAGCCACATACACGCCCTATTAACCCTAGAAGCCCTCTATGATCCCTAATCCAGAAACCCAGAGCAAGGCGCCAAGATCTGTGCCAACATCAGCGAAGGCCTCCACGGCACACAACGTGGGTTTTGGTAGGGCTCCGAGGTTTTTGCTTTAGGGGTTCACGGCTCCGAGGTTAAGGCTTTAGGGGTTTAGGGCTCAGAGGTTTAGGCTTCAGGGGTCTAGGGTTTAGGGGTTTAGGGGTTGGGGAGGAGGCCCCGGACATTTCAGGGCCGTCAAGAGTGTTTAGAGGTTCAGTGATGGGGGTTTAGGCTTCAGTGGGCTTGTAGGAGAGGCAGTCTGGCCATTGAATTGAATTGAATAGGGCTTCGACGAGTTCAAGGTTATGAGGGGAGGGGGGATGCGGTTCGGGACTCGTTTTTTTCTTGCGAAACGAATTCCTGGGTTTCGGGCCCCGTGAGAATAAACCCTAAACCCTAAACCCGAAATTGGGACCTCAGCTTGTACCATGCCATGGACTCGATTGGTTTAGGGTCTTTAGGGTTTGGGGGATTTCGAGATTCTAGGATTTCGGGTTTGGGGTTGGTTCAGGGTTTAAGGCTAAGGCTTGAGGCTTATAGGATTTAGACTTTGGTGGTATTTTTTTGTCGGATTTAGTTGTCGAAATTAGGGTCCCTTTTTGGGCACCCTAAATAATAGGTGCCGCATTATCATAGGGACCCGAAGAGGGACCATAATTTTTGGGTTTAGGTTTTCCGCCTGACGAACCGGCAGGCGAGTTGCCTTGCAGGTCTCATGCCCTCAGGCTCTGAAGTAAACCCTAAACCTTAGAAGGGGCCCCCACCCTGTAATAGTGGTATAATAGGAATATAATAGGGCCCTGATATAATCCTTATACTCACTATTACAGGGTGGGGTCCCCTTCTAACCTAAACACTAAACCCTCTGAACGCCGCAGGGCTTCATCTGGAACTAAAGCTGTGCAAGGGTTTACTTGAAGGATCATGGGACTTAGTAACTAAGGTTATTATCAGGGTAACTATGCTTGACTACTGTATAACCCCAACTAAGGTACTTATAGCCTTACTTACTAAGTCCCATGATCCTCCAAGTAGGAGTGGCCCGCAGAGAACTGAAGCAAAGCCGAACCTAGGAAACATCTCTAGCACACGGAACTACAAACTCGCAGTGACGCGATCCCTGGCGCATGTATCACACAACTGATAACATTACCTTAACCCCACGTAACCTACCTTTGTAAGGACTTATATAAAGAAATCATGTTAGGGAACCCTAAAAAGGTAGGTTCCTTAGGGTCTAGGTAGTCATTAGTCTCGACTGTGTCAGAATTCGAAAGCCTGGCACTGTCGGGTTGCGAATTCGGAATGCTGCAATCACAGAGGCGGCCTGCCCCAAGGACGGTGGCTGGGCCGTTGCCGCATACTCGTGGCCGTTGGGGGCCTGATATCAAGGGATGACTCGTTTGAACGGCTCGAGGTCTAAAGGCATGCTCGAGCACCCTCCGAGCCTGATCCAAACCTCCGTCCAGTTTTCTGAAGGGAGTACATTGCGTCAAAGACAAGAATACTATGACTATGTAGTCAGATAGGCCCTAACCTTTACACCCTGAATTCCAAAGCATACCCCTATAGACTATGTTATCTCATCCCAGTCGCCGACGGCATCGATGTGTGACCTCCTGCCACCAGCTGCTGCCGCATGTATGTCGGGACCCATCGTCCCTCAATGGCTCGGTTGATGGTCACGGCCTCCTTTTCAGAGGACAGCAGAGTCCAATCTCAGCAGCCCTGAAATCATGTGTGTACCTATCAAAAAAAAGGCCTAGACAATTTGGCTATGGCTTGGGGTATCTATTCTCATGACGTTAGACGGTCGTTCTGTGGTCACTTACCTTCGTTACTTGTTGTAGAACACCCAGATACCACCACACAGGCGCTCTAGGTGTGAGTGCCAAAAGCCGGCGATCCCCAACTGTCACTAAGTAGTCAAGGCCCCCCAAAAATGAAAAACTCTGACGGAGGGTCATGGGAACTGAGGAAGTAGGGTTATAAGTACCTTGATCGGGGTGATAAGCAAACGTAAGTATAGTTACCCTAATAAGATCCTTAGTTACTATGTCCCCTGATGTCCCATGATCCTCTAAGTAGGCTGTATTGGGTCTATTCTGATCTTGGCGTCCTCTTGTGAGGGCACCGCTACCCCGGCTTCCGCGGGGTCAATGCGCACCTCCGCGGCGGATCGTTTTGGACCTATGAGGTTGATACTTGGACATCATATAGAGCATGTGAAGAACAAGTCCGGGTATGGCTGTAGTACATTTCGAGGAGTAACATGAAGTAACCTTATGGCTGGGGTCCTACAATGAGACCCGAATGTAATCCCCCTATTCTAGGAATCGCTCTCGGTTCGAAAAGGCCCCTGATTTCAAAATAGCCCCACGAGTTAAGGGATCAGTGGAGTTGGTAATATACGGTTTAGGGTTAAGGGTTCTCATTTCCTTCTTTCAGGCGCGGAATCAGCAGGTCAAGGCTTGGGGTTTGGGGTTATCAACATTGGAAGTCAGGCCCGGGTAACTATGGCTATGGTGACTTGCCTGATATCCCAAGTTACTAAGACCGTGATCCTGTTAGTATTGTACACATATACACATGTGTGTATTCATAGAAAACTGTATATATACACACATATACATACAGGTAGGTAGCGTAGATAGATAGATAAATAGATAGGGAGGCAGATAGGTAGATCGATAGACAGATAGACATGTACAAGCAGAGAGGGAGAGACTGCAAAGGAATGTAGATCACACGTCTAACGCCATCTCCGAACAAGCCATGAATGTCAAAGCACCATGGAAAACACCGGCTCAACTGCTCAACCTCGACAAACCCGGAGCATGCAGTCAACAAAAAAACAGGACGAGAAGTGTGACACCTATGCAAACTCCCAGAATTGATCTCCTTCAGCTAAAAACTGGAAACCCCAAGCTCCCTATTGTAAAGCCTAATCTGAAAATCGCAGACGGGGGAATTACAAGCATGATGCCACATGACGTCACGTAAAGAAAAAAACAGAGACAAAGCAAGAACTAAATGGTAGCCATTGCAATTGAGTCAAAGCCACCAAAGCGGAAGCAAAGACACGCAGAATAACAACTAAGTAAAACAAAATAAGCCCAAATAAGGCAAGATTAATGTTAATTTACACCGAACGGTTATTAAGCCTACTATAACAAACATAAACACATCGCAAATAGAATTAAAACCCATCAATACAACTACAGACTCATATCCATACATCATATGCGGACTTGATATGGCATGATGGTTTCAGACCCGCCAGTGTTCATAAGACTTCCGGATCCAAAACCCGAGGATAACCGGCTGCGATTTTTTCCAAGGACTGGAAAACCCTCAATCTTCAGCCCCTAAGGTAAAAGCCAGAAAGTTGGAATATGATTATCCTAACCCTTCTATGGTAAATTATAGGGTATCCTACCATGAAACCATATTCCAACTTTCTGGAGTTCCCTGTAATCCCTACACCTTGAAGGTCACCTTCAGGCAAGTTATCTATGGTTTAAGATTGAGGGTTTAGGGTTGAGGGTTAGGGTTTCCCCAGAGCCCAAACTTCTCTTCAATCCAGAGTTCAGGCTTTGTGGGAAACACGCGTCGGAACCTCGGGCTCACTGGGGACCACTCCCATACAGTCCGCTAGGACATGTTGCCTGGGTTGTGGCTGTGTGTTGAGGGTCCTGGGTTAAGGGAATAAGGCGTTCTTGGTTCCCACATTATACGAAAGGGTGTCCCGGTCGTAAACCCCATAAACTTGGAAACCGGATTAAGGCCAAATAGTGCCGGGATTCCCCATGCATTACTCTTCAGGACTGAGGCTATTGGGTTTCCAACTTTTCGGCTTCTACTGTTGGGGGGATTTGGGATCCCGGTCCCAGGTCTGTGCAGCCCCCAGTATATGGGAGTTTCCGAAAATTAGGGGTACCTTATTTGGGGTCCTTATAATAAGGATCCCACTATTTGGGGTACTATATTAGGTGCCCTATTTTCGGAAACTCCCATATAGTTCACATATAGCAAGCGCTCCGGGGAGCGGGTTTGGGCGGAGAGACACGGGCTTGAGGCCCAGAGGGCTTGCGGGTCAATTTCTTAGTTCGATTCGTTGAATGTGTGGTTTGTGGGATCCCTCATAGAGGGTGTCCGAAGAAAGTACACTGGAACTACCCTCCCTGAAGAAAGCGAGCACAGGGCATGCCCTTGGCAAGATGGTCTTGAAACCCAGACCCCCCTACTCTTTTACGCCTATACTCCGTAAGCCTAATCAATGCTAATCAAACAGGGAATGGGCGTGCCCAGGTTGAACGAATTTAGGAGGTTTCGGGTGGATTGCGGGACAATGGTTCGTGTTCAGGGCTTGGGGGCAGCAGATGACACAGTTGATTATTAGAATAGATTGTATCAATTACTGAATAACATCAAGGGGTTGTAGTGCTTCAAGGTGTTCTAAGTGCTCAAGAATTCGCGTTGATGTTTTCTTTTGTTTAAGGCTTTCTTCTAGGTTCTTTTGATGTAGATGGCTTTTCTCGTGCTGTGATTTCTTGTATTTCTTGATGTCATAGCCACAAAGGGGACAAGTAATAAGTCGTAGCTGTAGTGTTTTCCTTAACTGTCTTCGTTTCCTTATGATAAAAATGTTTTTGCAACGCTAGGGGATACAATGAACAACTTCTTTATCAATATGAAGACCTTTATCTCTTCCGTTACTGTCATTTGACGTATCACTCCATTACATTAACTAGATTTTTCTAACATGCGTAAGATAATAGCATACTGCTTTAAGAACCTCCAACAGACTATGCCAGCACATTCTATATCTTGGACTTTTCATTACTTCACTAATTTCTCAATCTCATTTAATACTTCTATGTATTTATCCTTTATGTTTACATCATACAGTTTTTGTATGCAATAATAGTGATTACACCTATAGTCAAACCAGTTAATGTTCATGAATATGATTTCTAACAATCTAAATATGAAATATCACCGAGACTACCTTTTACGCAAATAATAACAGGTCCTTCGGGGTCTGGTAAAGGTATAGTGGTATAGTCAGTGAAACTGGATATTTACAGAGATCTGGTTGAAGGAACATATATATATATATATGTAAATGTTTATGTGGTCCCCTTCATTTTCAGTTGATGGCAACGGGTCACCAGTGAAAAAGGTACATTCAGTATAATCTACAGGTTGATTTACAAGTATCTGTTTGATGAATACATACCAGCAGACTTACAAGCAGATCTAAAAAGACACCATAATGTAATTACATACTAGAAGAAGAAGAAGAACGACCATAAGAAATTATTCTCAATACTGGTACTAGTGGATGGTTTTGCTGATTCAAGAGCGTTCTCGTGCAATAGCCCGTATTAAATAATTGTATGTTGAAACAATGGTTAAAGAGTTAGGAGCCGTCTTAATTATGAAATCATCGAAAGTGTTGCTAGAAGTATATAACCTGGCTACCGAAGAGTCTTACATATTTTTCTTTACATTTGATGAACTCAGACATAAATAATCTGTTCTTTGAAGGCTTTGATGCTAAACTAGTTAATTAATGGAACTTACGTTGATAGCAGCAGCTAGATACCCAGATCCAGAACACGGTAACAAAATAACCGGGTAAAAAAAAAACACCTTGCGAAAACGCAAACAGTTGCACAAAGGTCTCACAAACCCCTAAAACCCTAACCGAAATCTTTTTCAAGCCTAAACCCTAAACCCCAAAAGCAATCGGGCTGCCTCACCTTACCCGGAAAGTTGTAAACCGCGTCCATTGTAGACTCCTCCTGACTCACCAAAGTTCAGGGGCAGTTAAAAGTAGGGTGATAAGTAGGCTAACTATATATACTTATAACCCCTGTTAGGGGACTTATAACCCTACTTATAACTACCCATGAACCTCCAAGTAGCAGGGGGTTGAGAGCTTTAGGGCTCCCTAACTACCTGATAAGGGCTCTATGAAAGGGTATTAGGGGGTCCTGGAAGCGTGCTAGGGTTTAGGGCTTTAGGGCTCGTTGAAGCGAGATTGAGGCAACCTCCCCTGGGTGGACGCGGTTCAGGAACGAAGCAGAGACCCTGCACGGTCTGCGAAGCCTGAAAAGAAAATGCGGCTGGCTCTCTAAACGCCCCCCTGATACTCCTCTTCATGAGGGTGCCGAAACTTTCTTTGGCACCCAAACCCTGACCCTAATTTCGAGAACTATTCAGAGGTCCCTTGTTCATTAAGCTATCAGAGCCCCGGCCTGCCGTGCGCCAACATGGGATATCGAATCCCAAAACCCAAAGGCTCCATGTACCCATATAGTAGGTACTTAGGCCTTAAAGTAGCCATAGAGTCCATAGAGGGACAGATGAAGCCTTAGGGAAAGCTGGCATTGTTTTTGCAGCAAGGCCAAGGACTTGCCTAGACCCCTAAACGTAGCACCTTCTTATAGGATGACTTATGTTCTGGTAAGTGTCGTATAATAAGACAATACTGGGAGGTTCAGGGGTAGTTATAAGCAGGGTTATAAGTCCCCTGATATGGGTGATAAGTATAGTTACCCTACTTGTATCCCTACTTACAACCACCCATAAACCTCCAAGTCAGGTAACGAAAGCAAGGTACTGCCCTAAACCCTAAACCCTAAACCGCTTTTGCAGGTCTGGGGCTTAACCTTGCACTCGCATTGAACCCAAGCATCCCAAACGCCAAACCCCAGACCCTAAACCCCACCTGGACCCTAAGGAACCTGCCTTTTTAGGGTTCCCTAATATGATTTCTTTATATAAGTCCTTCAAAAGGTAGGTTACGTGGGGTTAAGGTAGACCCTAGACCTATTATGTATGCCCTAGACGAACCCTCAGGTCCCCACAGATCCCATACCGATCCCTCTTACAGCTCCTTTGAAGAAACCGGTTTAGAAAACCTCAACTACCCATAGATCGCATACCGATCCCTCTTACAGATCCTTCGAAGAAACCCTGTTAGAAACCCTGTCAAATGGCTTAGGCTGGGTTTAGGGCTTACTGTAGCGTTTAGGGTGAACTTTTCCCTAAACTAAAGCCTAAACTTGTCGGGTGTTGGTGGAGGGGCCCCAAGGGCTGGGAGTCCATGTAACAAGGCCTGGTTTAGGGTTTATAGGGTTTAGGAATTAGGAGTTTAGGATTTAGGGGTTAGGAGTTTAGGGGTTTAGGGGTTAGGGGTTTAGGGTTTAGGGGTTAAGGATTTAGGGGTTTAGGGGTTAGGAGTTTAGGGTTTAGGGGTTTAGGGTTTAGGGCATCAGGGTTGTATGAGGATCTACCCTATTTCGATAAGGATGCTTGCTGATGCCAATGCTTGATCCCTGAGGCTCATGTTGCATTTTCTTAACTCCGCAACCCTGGGCGCCTGAAGCCCGTAACCCTGAATCCCAGTAAGCACCTTTTACTTCGACACCCACAGCCCCATAGCCTTCAACCCTAAATCCCTACTGTAGGGGCCGAAACAAATAATTACCCATTCTGTTGTGGGGTTCCCTTACTATACTTATGGTAGAATGGGCCCCAAAACCCTATTCTAATTAATAAGGCCCCTATATTATAGTACCCTTATAGTAGCCCTCATAGCCCTTTTAAGGAACCCTAAACCTTGAAAGCCCGAAACCCTATTCTAATTGTTAAGGCCCAATAGCCTTCAACCCAAAACCCTATTATAAGTATCAAGGCCCCTATACTTTACCCTTAGAGTAACCCTCATAGAACCCTTTGAGCATCCCCCCAAAAGGGAACCCTACTCTGATGATTCAGGCCCCTATATTAAAGCCCCATAGCCTTCAACCCAAAAGTCCCTAGTGTGACAAGAGCTTCGCTTTGCTCCCACGGTTTAGGGTTTAGGGTTTAGGGTTTAGGGTTTAGGGTTTAGGGTTTAGGGTTTAGGGTTTAGGGTTTAGGGTTTAGGGTTTAGGGTTTAGGGTCCTGTCTGGCGGGCCCGAACAAGTCGTCAGAGCCGAAGGCTGTAGCCTAGGATCATCAGACTTCTTGGAGGATCATGGGACTTCGTAAGAAAGGTTATAAGTTCCCATTCTGGGGTTATAAGTAGTTAAAAGCCCTAAACCCTAATCCCTAAACAACCCTAGACCCTAAACCCTAAACCCATAAGTATAGTTACCCTAATAATAACCTTAGTTACCATGATCCTTTAAGTTGGCGACCGGGGGCTCAGATACCAGGATGCAAAAGGATTTACGGTTTGGGATTCATGGTATACCAGGACCCCCCAAGTGCCCTTCAATGGGCTCTGAGATTCCTTATTTAGAGGTAATGAAGGGCTACAATAAAGGGTAGTTGGGGGGTTTAGGTAGGGCTCGGGATTTAGGGTCTAGGTCCAGGTGTTAGGGCTTCAGTGCTAAGCGTGCAGGTTCAACATCAGAAAGCCCAGCCCCACAATGCCTCCACCCAAAACCCGAACATCCCGAACCCGACCCTAAATCCAGAATAGTAGTATGGAAGATCCTGGTTCGGCCGGCCCCCCCCCATCTCTGTGGTGGTGGGTTGCTTCCACCCACCCCCCCCCCTGTGGTGTGGTGCGGTCCGGGATGGGTCTGCTTCCCCCTTCTTTTTTCTGTGGCATGGTGCGGGTTCGCCCCTGCGTTTTTGGGTCTGCTTTGGGTATTTGGTATACTCATCCCTGTGATGACAAAGATGATGACGATGGGGAATGCTCACCATCATCATCATCATGTTTAACTCAAACATCTTAATGTTTCTTTGGTTGGTCGTCGGGTGTCTTCTAACCGCGTGCCTGGCAACGATTATCGCTTTGTTGATCGTCGCCACTATCTTCGTGACAGTTGTCGCTTTGGGGACAATTGCCATAAGGTTGAAATGGGCCAACTGTCACAGGGATCGGGCCGGTCAGGGAACACGGTCCTCGTGACAGTTGCATTTTTTAAGTCCACAGTCACAAGGATCGGACGTGTTTGGGATGCGATCCTCGTGACAGTTGACGGCTTTGGTGGCCTCACGTGTGAATCGTGCCGGAAAAAATTATACCGTCACACGGATCTGGCATCCTTGAGACACGATCCTCGTGACAAAGGACGGCTTGGGGGCCCTCATGTGCAAAAGTGTGTGCAGTCACACAGATTCGGTTCGGGGATTGAGTGGGGAGTGTGGGGGGGGGATGCCATTGGGGGGGCAGGGGGAGGGGGGGGTCGGCGCACCGAGAACCGGGATCATATATGGACCCTCTTTTATAGGGTCCTTAAGAGAGGGTGGTTCAAGGGGGGAGGGTACAAGGGATCCTTAGGGAACCTGAAGGGAGCCTTAGGGAGCACTGGAGAGAACTAGGGATTAGTAGGTTACCTACCCCCCTTGGAACCCTAAACCCTAAACCCTAAACCCTAACTCTTGGCCTGAACCTCTGGCAGCAGGTGGCATTGGCCGGGATGCGCTGCATCGGATGAGCCGTTGGCTGTGGCGCCTGAGCGAAGGCTGGGCTCCTCTTGGGGTTCCGTTTCAAAGGGAAAGCTCAGGGTTTCCTTTAAAGGGATAGCACAGGGTTCCCGTTAAAGGGATCCTTGAAAAGGTTTATGAGGGATCTTTTGTCTTATTGAGTAGAACATAGGGTTCCTGTAAGGGTTCCTTTTAAAAAGGGGTCTATAAGGGTTAGTATAGGGGCGAGGGTTTAGGGATTTGGGGTGCAGGGACTTCGCGTTGAGGGTTTCAGGGTTTAGGGATTTAAGGTTCAGGGACATAGGGTTAGGCTTTCCAAGCAACGACAAAGGCCTTTGGGCCCAAAGACCAAACTATATAATTAAGGCTGTTGGCCTATTTTGAGCCTTACCCTAAACCCTACACCCCTAACCCTAACCCCTAAACCCTAAATCCCTAAACCTTAAACCCCTAAACCCTAAATCCCTAAACCTTAAACCCCTAAACCCTAAATCCCTAAACCTTAAACCCCTAAACCCCAAACTCCTAGGCGTCAGGTGCGGCCTGTGGCTGTGAGGGAGCCGCTGGTGCTCTCGGCTCGGGCGCGAGAGGCGGCAGTGGCTTCGTCTCTGAGAGGTTCACGACCTGTGCCCCGAGACTCCAACATGGGAGTTTCTGAAAATTAGGGGTAATTACCTTATTTCGGTTTCGGGGGGTCCTTATAATAGGGTCCCCTATTTTCGGAAACTCCCATATCCCTTAATTAAGATTATAGTAGGATCCCGAATATGAGTTAAGGAATACCTGTGCCCAGAGGCTCCTCTATCCCTTAATTCAGGAATCTTCCTTAGGGTTCCTTGAAGGGATCTATAAGGGATCGAGGGTTTAGGGTCTAGGGGATTTCAATATCCCTGAATTAGGCTTTAGGGTTTAGGGTGAATTAAGATATAGTAGGATCCCGAATATGAGTTTAGGAAGACCTGTGCCCAGAGACTCCTATATCCTTTAATTAAGGAATATACCTTGAATTATAGTAGGATCCCTATTACGAGTTAAGGAATGGTCCTTAATTAAGGGATATTGGAGTCTCTGGGTTTAGGGTTTGGGGTTTAGGGCATTATTACAGGGCTTAGGGTTGAGGGGTTTAGGTTCGTGAGGCTTTGGCTTTCTTCGGCTGAAACCCTAAACCCTCATAAACCCACGGTTTAAGCAGAAGCCGTAAGCGTGAGCCCTACACGGCTTCGGCTTGCTTCGGCTCTTTCAGAAACCCCAGACTCAAGGATGAAAAAGTTTAGGGTCAAGGGTTTAGGGCAGCTTGAAGCTCTTGCGACTTTTTCCACAATTAAGGAGTTTGATGAAAACTTGGGTTTGTGGGTTGGGTTTCGAACTTTGCGCTTCAAGTTCGGCAAAACATCGAGCAGAAAGCTCTGGGTGTGCATCTGCTGGCTGAGGAAGGGGTACTCGTATTTGCATATGTACTCGTACTCGTGATAGTAGGAATTACAAAATAGCATTAGTATTAGCCCAGGTACTAGTCTTAGTATATTGAATTAGCATTACCCGATGAGTCCAAAGGACCCAACATTAGGCACTCGGGTTTAGGATAGTAGTTATGTAGGTTACTATTTTGGAGAGTATATTAGGTATACTTGGACACTTAGGGTTACTATCCCGAAGGCTCATGTACCCATATAGGGACCCCTTTAAGGCCTAAGTACCTACTATGTGGGTACATGGAGCCTGAGGGTGTTAGTATGACATAGGATGAGTATCAGTGCTACTCTCTCCTGCAATAACCGGGCCCAAAAAAGTTTGAACTTTCTAAGATAGACCAAATGCATAAGGCTCAAAAGTTTAAAGTTCCCCCATTGGCTATCTAAGGTAGTGTTCGTAAACTTACCCTAAGGGTCCATGTACTCATATAGTATATACATTGGCCTCAAAGTACTCCCTATATAGGTATATTGGCCCCAAAGTATATACTATATGGGCACATGGACCCTTAGGGTTACGGCCCCGAGATTATGCGTCGATGCCGTCCAGAGCCCCCAATCCGAGCCCCGGAACCATTGTCCTCAGAACACCCCTCCCAAGGCTGACGTTTCAGGGTTTTCGGGTTTAGCGGTTTTGGGGTTTGGGGGGGTTTGGGGGTTTAGGGATATTTTGAGAGGCTCCGAAGTGTCCCAGCAGGTTTCTGAAGTAGAGTTTAGAAGCTGCCCCCACCCTGTAATAGTGGTATAATAGGAATATAATCGGGCCCTACTATAATCCTTATAGTCACTGCTACAGGGTGGGGACAGCTTCTAAAGTAGAGTTTAGAGACTCTTTATTGGCGTAGGAGCCTTGTCTGGATCAAACTCCTCCTGCTCCCATGGTGCCACTGCGTGCCTCTGGGCCTCGGTGTTCTTGGGGTTAAGGGCTTGGGCTTAGGGCTTAGGGCGTGTAGGGCTTAGGGTTCAGGGTTTCGCTTTCACTGATCAGTCACCAGCACAGGAAACTGGAGGGTATGCGAAGCGGTGTTCTGATAGGTTAGCATTATGTGCGGGGCTTGCAATTTTTTCCAGAATCATGCTGAAACCAAGACTAACGGAACATTGAACGTCTTGAACTTGCACTGATACACTAGGTGGAAATCACGGCGTGTGGAGTTTAGGGGTTTAGGGTTTAGGGTTTAAAGTGTTCTTTCTTTGCAGGGTTATAATGCTGAACAGTGTTCACCGAAGAGCGTCCTGGTAAACAACTTCGGGGCTAACAAGGTTTCATGGCCATTGCCGGTACCATGTGGGAGTTTCCGAAAATGGGGGACCCTAGGCGCCCTTATAGCAAAGGACCCTAAAAGGAAGCTTAATCTAGAGAGCTGTCCATATAGAACCTAGGAACCCAATAAAACACCTTCCCCAGCACTCCAAACTTCAGCGAAATAAACCCTAAACCCTAAGCCCTTAGCTAAGAAACCCTAATAGCCTAAACCCTAGAACCTAAACTCTCAACCCGTGGATCAGGACTGCCAGGACCCTAGCCCCAAAGATCCTCCAAGCCCAAAGGTCTGAACATGCAAACCCAATGGGTCCAAAGTATCCATATAGGGAGTTTCCCAAAAGGGTCCAAAGTACCTTTATAGTAGAATGTAGAGTTTAGGGTTTAAAGGGTCCAAAGTACCTTTATAGTGGAATGTATGGCTTCTATATTATATAAGGAATTACTGTGACGATTTGGGGATGTATGTCCCATAACAGTACCTAGGACCCTTTGGGAAAGAACTCCAAGCCTCAATACCACCGACCGACCGAAGACCCGAGGGGTCCATGCACCCAAATACGGTGGATGATATAAATCCCTAGGGTTCCTTTAAAGGGATCTATAAGGGCACCTGTAAGGGGTTCCTTTAAGGGATCTATAGGGTTTTAAGGTTTAGGGTCTAGGTTGATGATATAAATCCTGCATTAGCTTAAGGACCCTAGAGTATGGGAATCATGGTATATTCCTGATTATGGGTAATGCAGGATTTGGATCATCAGCCGTAGTATATACTTTACTTTGTATCCCCAAACCCTACAAAATAGTAGGTTATGACCCCTTAAGTAGAGGGTAGAGCCCTTAAAGCGGTAGGTCTTCGGATCCCAAGGTAGGCCCAATGTACCTATATATAGCGACTACTTAAGGCCAAAGGTATACATAATATGTGTACGTGGACCCTGAGCGTAAGATCCATGGCATCTTACGCACGATTGCGCTTAAACCCCATACACTACCCAAGGCCCTTGGCGGATAAATTATGGCATAGTTAGAATAAGGCACCCTGGGGAACACTGTCAGCAATTATGCAGGCTTCTGGATTCTATATCAAACCCTGCGCCACCACCCTCCCAAACTCCCGCAAACCCCCAATAAAACCACACTAACACACCTAAACCCCTTCGAAACCCTCAAACCCTCCCCCTAATACTCCAATATAGTAGGTACTTAGGCCTTAAAGGGGTCCCTATATGGCTACTTTAAGGCCTAAGTACCTACATGGGTACATGGAGCCTTTGGGATAGTAACCATTAGGGTCCAAGTACCTAATTATCATATACTCTCCGAAATAGTAACCCTGCTATAACTACTATCCTACACCCCTCAAAACCCCTCGAAACCCCTTCGAAACCCTCAAACCCTCCGAAATAGTAACCTACATAACTATCCTAAACATTCCTAAACCCGAGTGCCTGATCTATACTGAACTCAGAACCCTAGCGAAAATTGTAATTTTATCTGTTTCTTAGGGATTAGAATAACCAAAAATTAGAAATTATTTCTAAGTACCCCCAAGTGTTGGGTCCCCGAAATTCCCCGCCGATTCGCCTCAGCAGTCGCAGTCTCGGCCTCAAGCGAGCTCCGCAACTTGGGATCCTCAAAGGGCCTTGCGAAGTGGGAGTCCATGCTTTTTTGGGTTTCCTTTTCGGGTTTGGGGTTTGGGGTTTTCGGTTTAGGGTTTGGGGGGATATTCCATGTTTTTTCTGGGGTTCCCTTTTCGGGTTTAGGGTTTGGGGTTTTAGGTTTATGGTTCTAACTTTCGTTTGAGCTCGATTTTTACAACTGCAGATCCGATAGGGCTTGGGGTTTAGGGTCAAGGGTTCCTATAAGGGCTGTTTTCCCCTAAGGCTCAAAATAGGCAAAAAAAATATATAGTATGGTCTTCGGGCCCAAAAGCCTTAATATATGAGTCCTTAGAGCCTTGGGGTTCCCCATTTGGGATTCGGGGCTCGCGGTGTTTGGAGTTGAACCGAACGAACCCCCGTGCAATTGCGCAGCATCTCGTTAACTTGTCAGTAGAAGCCTTGGGATCCGAAGACCTACCGTTTTCAGGGTTCTACCCTCAAATTAAGGGGTCATAACCTGCTATTTTGTAGGGTTTGGGGATACAGGTAGAAGAAGCCAGATTTTTTTGTTCAGGGTTTAGGGCTTTTCGGCTATCCAAAACCTACGACATATAAGTTTTGATGTTGACTACGTAGCCACGAGACAGAAGCTTACTGGATCTCCCGAGGAGTCGAAAGCACCCAGTAATTTGGTACTTGGGTTTAGGATAGTAGTTTGACGGTTACTTGGACCCGTAGGGTCTGTAAGCATTCATGGAGGGGCAGTGGGGGCACCGAGACTCGGTGAAGCCCGGGCACCTGTACACATCCTCCAGGTCCAAAAGGGGCTCGTCGTCCATGGTTGGTGAAACACACGTGGCAAAAGCTCGTCTTCCTTTGAGCCATATAAACATGCAACTAAGTAAGTGTGTGTGTGTGTGTGCGTGTGTGCATGAACGGGTCGAAAATGTGTCTGTATATATATATATATATATATATATATATATGGTATGTATATATATATAGAGAGAGAGAGAGAGAGAGAGAGAGAGAGAGAGAGAGAGAGAGAGAGAGAGAGAGAGAGACCAGAGACTCTAATTCCCCCGCCCCCCACCCCTCTGCATGCTGAACACAAATCCCAATCCGAAGATTTCACCCTTTGCCGAAAAAAGCCGCTTCGCCAATCTACATCTGTTTTTAACCACAGCTTCAGCTTCGCCTCATGGCTTGCAGCTCGTGGGCAACCAACTGCACAGAAGCCAAAGCCCAAAGCCTAACAAGCCCTAAGGCTCCATGTACCCATGTAGTAGGTACTTAGGCCTTAAAGGAGTCCCTATGTGGCTACTTTAATGGCTTAGTACCTACTATACGGGTACATGGAGCCTTTGGGTAACAAGATCAGATGTCCCCTCAATGCAGGAAGCACGCCCGCATGGAGCAGTAGGAGCAGCCAGGGACGCCAGCTTGCCACACTACGAAAGCGGTAGTCCTGGACAGCACACGTAGGGCTTGGCGTTTAAGGAAGTTTAGGGCCTTTTGTCTTCTTGACTTCGACATTGCTTATCACCGGTAGTCCTGGATACGTTCGAGAGGTTCGAAACTTGAGGCGCAGCGAAACCAACTCAATCTATGACCCAGCTTTAAGTGGAAGGATACAGTCTCCAACACTTCACCAGAATATTACAGTCATGAACTCCCGCATCGCAGTGTTCTGTGGCTCAACAACTAAGCCCAACACCAAACGTGTCCTGCACCAGACACTTCAAGATGGCTTCTCCCTTCTTCCGTGCTTTTTTTCGAAGGTCTCGCCGCAGCACAGCTGCGATCTTGCCGACCTGCAGGACCCTAAGGGTCCATGTACTCATATAGTATATACATTGGCCTCAAAGTACTCCCTATATAGGTACATTGGCCCCAAAGTATATACTATATGGGCACATGGACCCTTAGGGGGATTTATGATGCTCAGTTCCGGGTGTTGGGGGGTTGAGGCCGCAGGGGGGATCCTGAAGCCTGGAGAGACGGTCTAGCCCTTCCCCGAAAAAAAGGCACCACACTTACCATAAGTTTAGGGTTTAGGGTTTAGTGGTGGGAAAATACACACCATCTATCTCCCTAAACCATAAACATCACTAACTTAACCCTAAAACTCCAAACTCCACATCCCCTTAAAACCCAAACCCCCAACCCCTAAACCCTAAAATCCAAAACACAGAAGCCCAAGCCCCAAACTCATATCATCCATATACCCTGAAGCCCTGAACCCTAAAACCCACGAACAAAAATAGACCCAAAACCGCAAACCCGAAACCTAATCCCTAAACCCGATATACCCTAAACCCTAAACCCTAAAACCCTAAAACCTTAGACCCTAAGTCCTAAAACCAACCTTACAACCTTCAAGCTGCCTCTAAAGCCCTGGAACCCTAAACCCCAAACCTCATAAGAACCCCGGAGCCGACGGAATCCCCGAAGAGCCCAAAGCGTTTTCCAATTCATCTTAACCCGTTTCAAGCCATATGGGAGTTTCCGAAAATGCGGGCTGCCTCATTTGGGGGTCCTTCTAATAAGGATCCTACTATTGAATTAGGGTACCATTTTGGGGTCCCCTATTTTCGAAACTCCCATATTCCTTAGTTCTTATTGCCTTTCCGGCAATACTCCAGGAGCCTGCGAGACCCAAGCCCGAGAGGATTGACCCCAAACTGGTTCCTTGGATCTAATCTAGGATGCCCAGTGACCTCGGAATAAAAAGGGCTTCCTCTCTGGTATTGGGTAACTTTACAAGGAACCTAAGACTACAAAAAGGGACTAAGGGTACTTGTGGGCATCCTAGTATAGAACCCCTATAGATCCCTATAAGGAACCCTTAGGCCTTAAGCCATGTTCCTTAATTAAGGGGTATTTCCAGACAGGGCCCTCAGAGGGATCTGGGGATTATCAGGGGATCCAAAACGAAGGTTGGGGGACTTAGTAAGTACGCTAAAATGGATCCTAGTTGGGGGTATGGTACTTATATGTCAATGAAACCACTATCTACAATTAATTCTCTTACAGAACCCCTGTAGATCCCTTTAACTTAAGTCTCTTAACCCGGCTTGGAAGGTTGGGGGACTTAGTGGGGCTCCTCACAGGGCCCTCAAAGGGATCTATCAGGGGACTGTAAGGGGCTCCATAACGGAGGTAGGGGACTTAGTAAGTATATAGTATGTCGACTTATAAGTACCCTAAAATGGATCCTAGTTGGTGTTATGGTTCTTATAAGTCTAAACCCTAAACCCTAAACCCTAGCTTTAAACCCTAAACCAATAACTACCTACAAAATGTCTCCCGACCGTCCAAGTGGGGTGCCCCTGGTGTTCTGGGATACCCCAAGGTTTAGGATTTAGGATTGAAGGGTCCCAGCATTCATTAATAAACCCTGAGGCTCCAAATAAATAGCCCAAACTAGGTACCACAAAAAAACTGTCGACCCCAAAGTAGGTACTATTTGTATACTTGGAGCTCTAGGGATATGACTGCGGGGCTTTGGGGTTTATGGGTTCATGGTTCACGGTTTCGGTGTTTTTGGCCCATGCGAAAGTTGAGGGTCTGACAGTCCAGGTAGCATTAACACTGTCTCCTGCCACATGCGCCAGGGGCCACGGGTGAAAGACATGGACAATGACAGATTCCAAATCCCCTCTACAGATGGTTCCCCAGCTTCCGAAGAGCCGGGCAAAAACAGAATTCGGACCAAAGCCATTGCGTCGTGAACCATATGAAACATCAGCATGAACAGCAGGACCAGTACCATGACAACACAACAGCTTTGCTTCTGATTCGTTCTTGTGTTTCGTGTGTTTGCCATCGCGATGGCCGGAGTAATTCGGATGCTGGTTGCAATCATTCTTCATACTTTTGGGTTACTGCCTCGGTTAGCTATGCATTTCCAAATTAGTTGCAGTCCAGCCGCCGTGTGAAACAGTATCTCCTTCTCGAAAAAGAACGTGCAGATGCCGAACCTGCGTTGGTCATGCACCGCAGGTCAGCAGAAAGAACTTAACATAGGAGCCTTCATAAGTAGAATAGGGTTTCGGCGCCACTATACTTTAATTATAATGAGGAACCCCCAAAATAGTATAGGTAATTGTTAACGCCCCTACATTACAGTTGTGCACTTGCCACAGGTCCTTTGGACCTATAAGAGCTAGTTACAGCTAGTTTATGTGTTGCTGACAACAGCCACTGACACGCCAAATCCTAAAGTCCTGAACCACCACTCCCAACCGTATTTTTCAAAGGCAAAAGCCAGCATCCGAAACTCACCAAAAAGCCTCAAACTCCGGAACCCTTGCAAGATCCTTACAGTATGTATTACAGAGCACTTGACCACCACATAAGGTAAGGTAGGTTCCCATTGTAGTTAGATTCTCCTTGTTGCAACCAATCCCGATGCATACCCTAAACAGTCCTAAACCCCAAATCCTTGAAGCCCAAAGCCAAAGCCTATCCAGGACCGTGATCGGGTTGTTTGTAGGGCTTCCCGATCAAGAAATCTCAAAAGAAGACAAAACATGTAACGCAGCTTGTTTAAAAAAACTCGAGAACCACCCTATCAAGAATTCTCAGAATCAACAGTCAAATAACAACCCTTTGGACAAATCCTGAAACCGAAAATCCCCTCTGCGATGCCCCTGAAACCGAGACGGAGGAACACGGACTTCACCAGCTCAAAGACCTTCCAAAGGCTTCGGCTTAAGGTTTCAGGGGGCTTACATAGGGTTTTGGGGTCTAGCTCTTTCTTCATAATGGTTTTTTTCTTAAGGTTCAGGGTTTAAAGTCGTTTAGAGTATGGGATGTACGGTTTACATGTGTTGGGGTCTATCATTTTTAACAAAGAGCCTCGTTTCCGTCCAGCAGAAGAGGGTTTAAGCTTCAGGGTTTTGGGTTTGGGATTAGGGTTTGGGGCTTCTGGTGTAATTACTTTTTGAGGAATGTGGTCAGATCTTTCGTGCAGGGTTTGGGGCTCAACATGATGGTTTGGGGTTCAGCTACTTTGAGGAGCAACACAGCTGCAATGCTATCCTGGTCGCGGGACTGGAAAAGGGTGCATCCTAAGAGCTTGCGGCGATGGGGTTGGACTTGTGGCAAGGATGGGCTTCGGATTTCTTGTTCGGGGTGTGCCCACATAGTACATATTTTGACCCTAACGTGCCTATATATACGGACTATATTCAGGCCAAGTATATACTTTTGGGCTCATGGAAAAAACACCAAATGTCAGCTACATTTTACAATGCTGGCTGTTCCTACGGCTGTAATTTGCAGTATGTATGAACCTTCTATTTATGGACAGAGGTGAGGTGAGGTGAGTTGTCGACCGAAGCACGAGCCTGGCCTAACAAAAGGCAGCCCTTCCGGCGCAAGGCCTAAAGAGGAAGCCCCAACAACACGACAAACAGGAACAGCAACAGGAAGCACAAACGCGAAACGAACGAAAAGAAGCGGAGGTGACAATTGCACAGCGAGCAGCTGCTGCAACGATACGGAGTACCGCGCCAGATTGGAGCTGCAATGACGCAGCAACGGGCGCGGCCATGTGGCTCCATTTTAACATCCCGCCATACATCGGCCACGTATTGCCGCACTGCCATTAATGCCACCCCAGCACTGCGCGGGTCGCAATGGATGTCAAGACGCCCAGCCACATTCGGCTCCACATTATGCGAGTCCTCTGGGCGTCCACCCGATGATCCCCTCCTGCCTGTCAGTAGCAGCCAGTACCAGCACCCATGTACCCGCGAGTACTCTAGAAACTTGCCCCTCGTGAAGCAACCAATCCGAGGCAACTAACGTACCAGCTGGACATTAAACCGGG